AGACGTCTCAAATGCTTCACAGAATATACTGTAAAGTGGATTGACTGTGTATTTTGTGGTCGAAATGCAGTAGCCAATTGTGCACAGCAGCGTCCCCCAAAACAGTTGTGGATTGAGTGACCAAAGAATTTTTTTTGATGGATTATTATGCCCAGAAAATGACCTACTAATAACCATGTTGCTACTGACTGCTAGTTAAACAGAGGCATGTGGAGCGTGGAAACTTGCCTAATGTTTCACCCTGCCCGGGAATCCTCATTCATGCCTTCACACTGCCAATATTTTCCTGACTGGATCCTACCATCATAATCTACAATTCAATCAAAATTATGCCCAGTTTCATCAGTTTCTAAAAAAAAAAAATCTCTCTTGTGGTACAATTGACAAACCTCTTTTGGAAGTTTAGGTGCACGTGGCTTCCTGTGAATAGCTCTTCATTTTGACCCACATCTGTAACAATTGCCCTCTGCTTCTTTCTCTTCAGCTGGTTACTCATCCACATCCGTATCTTACCATTGATATTGAGCAGCATCAGTCTAAAGGAGTCTCTCGTGAGGTATTTTGTGAAAGGCCTTTGGTGAATCTTGGTCATGTGGCTTCCCAACCAATAGCAATTTACAATATCGCATCCACAATCATGCCTAAGAGGTTCATTTAGGAACAGATCTACCCTTTCCGAGTCTACCCCTTATTAGGTCATTTTCAGATGAGCAATATTTCCATCATGCATCCCATAATTGCTTCAATTAATTGTTGAGATCAGGCTAAATGAGTCTGCAATTGTCAGATATGGCTCAATAAATTTTCTTTAACATGAAGACCGCATTTGTTTGTTTAATAATAATAATAATAATAATAATCCTTGCATTTGATATAGCGCTTTTCACGTCGGGAGGACGTCCCAAAGCGCTTCACAGAACACACTGTAAAGTGAATTGACTGTATATTTGTGGGCGAACGCGGCAGCCAATTGCGCACAGCAATGTCCCACAAACAGTCGTAGATTGAAAATGACCAATTTGTTATTGTTTTTGGTTTTGGAGGGATTATTATTAGGCGTTTATGGAGGTAACTTCATTGCAAATTAATAATAGCACAAGCTTCAGACTGAAGAATATGAATACTGATACTGCAGGTCCTAATAAGCGGGACTGATGTCGGAATACATTTGTGATAGTTAATTTATCTGAACTATTTATTAAATGGCAACTATCCTGGTAATCATCTGTCATCTGACCTTGTTTATCTCAGCACTCACTTGACTCCATTTTTATCTTGAAAATTGATGTATCAACTGGAACTCTGTATATTAAGTTACCAGCACCTGGTGTCAACAGTTTCTGTGCAAATATCTCCTGTCTCTTATGTAACAGCAGCTAATATTCCACCAAATGACAATATTCACCTTAAAGACCTTTTAATGGAAATGCGTTACTGAGGATTACCAGCCCGGAGGAAAGGCATATTCCGTGAAGTACGCAACTTCTCAGGTTTCCAGAGCTGTGTCATCAAACTAGCTCTCTAACGTCGCTCAGAGTCATTAATGATCTATACAGCAATAAATAGCAGTGCTGCCCCTCAAGAGAGTGAATGGCCTGTTCACACCACATTGCTGGTCTCTCCTGCATCACAGACACGCCTTAACTGGTCTTTGCCCGATGACAAGACATCCAAATCCTCCAAATCCCACATGAAGGGTGAGATATAAATGCAAGTCATTGTTGTTCCTGAGCGAGTCTCTAAGGAGTTACAGAATCAATGTAAATAATCAATTCAACACTTTTCATCACATGCCGTCACATGTGCTGGAGACAAGCACTGAGCCGGAGGTATGGCGATAAGGTCTAAGTTAACGACAGTTTTAATAATTTGAACACCATTCTACTTGTAACCTTCAATAGCCGAGAAGTCCTTTACCTTACTGTGAAAAGATTAACATATAATTCTGCCTGTGCAGGTTTCAGCGTCATAAATGATAAACATGCGCTGTTGAGCAGCTGTTAGCTGTTGAAAAATGCCCACAAATACAACACAAATACAATGAACAACACATAATGTCCAAGCTAAAAAAGCAACGGACAAGTCTGAGCTTGACTCGCAACCGGGTCAATATTGGTGCAGTACGTTCCTACTTATGCAAGTTTGGTTATTAACTGTTTCTCCCCTCTGTAATGGCTGTGATGGAATTCCATTTCAATTGCGTAACTGGTCCGCGCCCGTACGTTTTTTATTACGGTTCCATTGATACGACGTCTGATCACACTGAATCTTCTCAGAAAGCTCCAGGCGCTTTGAAGCAAAAGTGACCATCACGCAGGCAAATTCGGCGTCCGAACTCGGCATTCTCGGGTGGCTGATACGCGCGGAAACCCATCACTACTATGTCTCAGAGTCTCCAAACCAAACTGAGGACTCGACGCGTTCCCACCTACACATGGAAATTACAAAGGTAGATTGTTGGGATGGAACGCGCTCTCTCTCCCTGGAGGGGACGCGCCCCCCCCTGCTCACCTAATTCCGGAAAGTAATTAGGCGCAGGGACACCAGGTTGTGCGTCAGGGTAACTGCTGGAGTCTAACCAGCTTAAAAACATAGCTTGCTATTGATATCGCCGTCTGACAAGCTTTCCCGCTGCTCGTATATAGGGTAGGATCACCCTACCGGTTAGGGCTTTGGCTTAAAGGGTTAACAGGAGCTGAGTGGGAATGGTTCCCTGCCCCCAGTGACTGGTCTTCCCTTCCAAGTCCTGCCAATAAGTCGAGCTGGTTGTGCACAGGTTAGCCATCACAGCAACAGACTCTACGTTTATTGTAAAAACTCAAATATTGTATTTTCCTTGCAATCAGTTATTCACACAATTTTTTTTTGGTGGGGGGGGTGGAGGGTCGACTGAATGTCTGACATATCCCATCACCGTGCATAATAGTATCCAAACCAGACCGATGACTCCATGGGAAACACATGGAAATTCCCGTGTTTTGGAACGGAATAAGTGCAGTACCACAAACACACAAAAAACGCATCATTTGAAAGCAGCAACAGACAGTATCAGCATTCCATACATACTGAGGCAATGATTATTCTTAATAATAACAATTGTGCACTCCTGGAAATTAATGCTGATTGCGGATACAATTTTAAGTCATGTCAATTTCAACTCTCTGGGCCATTCACTCTTCAGATTGTAGCTGCCATCTGTACTTTGGCCTCAGGAACACTTTAATGCAGATATTATAAATCAAACAAGCATCAATTTATTGCTCGCCTTCCCACTTGCAAATGTGTTTGACTTGTTTTTCCTTCCACTGGTGTACAATGTAATGGGCGGAGATGCCCTTCAGTATCTCGCCCATTAATAATTTGCGAGTCACGACTGACTGTGAGGTTTGGCAGGTTATTTGTCCACAGGAGGAAAGAGGACAGGTTTGACACTGCAGCCGAGTCCAATCCTGTCCTTAACCTGATGTCCATACAGGGGGGAGTTCGGTATTTTAACCCACAGCGAAACCCTGGTTGATTTTGCACCCCTCACCTGGGGTACTGATCATGATTTTAGGGCGTCACTGGCTTAACACCAGGAACTTCAGCACAGATCAGGGATGGAACCTGAAGATTTCCCGGTGTGTATGGGCTCAGTTGAATTTTTTGGTCCATCTCCTCAACTGGTCCTCCCCCTATTAAGTTTTTGGACTTTAGTAATGGGAGCCTGCACTTTCCCTTGGGTTGCAGCTACTTGCCTCGCTCCTCTCCCTGCACTTTGTTATCTTTTGCCATTAGCAATTATGCAATGAACCATCCCTGCCTGAATCCCGGTTCCCTGTGTATCTCTTGATCTTTCAGTTGCGTCACCATCAAAAAAGCTTTCCTACCACTTTGGCTTTCAACACCCAACAGAATCATTGTGCTGATCTACCACCTTGGGTGGCAGCAGAACCGAAACTCCTGGGGGCGCGGCGAGTGGGCCAAACAAGAAGCCAGGCAGACATGAACGGACACACCCAGTGGTGGCCAACCGTTATGGCCAGCCAACCAAATAAATCTTCTCGATTGAATAGTTCGGACGACTATTCCATATTTGTATTTCAATATGCCATGAATCAAGAAAACTTCAATCCAGAAAAAAACTGAAAAACACACGAGCGATCAAACTCCAGCTTACCCGGACCAGGAGGGATGTACAGCGGAACGCACCGCCAAAAGTGAAGCGCTCTGGGGCGCTACCCCACATGAGGGGGCTCTGTGTAAATACAAGTTGTTGTTGTTGAAGCTGCAGGAGATATTGAAGCTCCTTCTACTTGTATCTTCCTCTAACTCTGAAGGACTTGCATCTGCCAGGCAACTCTGGCGCCAGGGATCCGAGTTCATGGTGACCACAGCACTGGAGACGCCCGGCAGATGCAAATCCTTCAGATGTAGAAGGAGCTTCAGTGTCTCCTGGGGCTCCCCTGTTGGCTCTGCACACTTGCCACACTTGCGCTACACCTTCAACTAAAGAGAACAGTTGGGGCATCTCCGCGACCACCTCAGAAACAACAACAACAACACCACCAACAACAACAACGTGCATTTATGTGCCCTGCTCCGGTCCAAATCCTTGACTGTCCAGCACCTTGGAACGTCCTGCGGATATGAAAGGGGCTATACAAATATAATTTGTTGTTGTTGCGACCAACTAAATTTGCTGGTCAGCTGGTGAGGCACTGCACTAAATGCATGGGTGATTATTATTATTATTATTATTATTATTTGGATCTGATTTTTTCAACTTGCCTGATCGCAGGGGGAGTTCCACAAACAGGAAGTGGTTCACGCTGGAATGCCGACCCTATCCGGGGTTCCAGCACGACCAGATCCACCATTCGGTCGCGCGAGCCAGATGTTCCCTTTATTTGCAATCCCTGCTGCCTTGAATTTGCAAAGGACTCGCCGAGCAGCCCAAGAGATCCGGGAGAGAGAGAGAGAGAGAGAGAGAGAGAGAGAGAAAAATAACAATCTCAAACCTGCTGTTGATTTCCTGCTCGGTTGCACGGTGTGCCAACTCCTCTGAGGATTCCATTTCCTGGCGGCTGGCGGTGTGGGCTGGCAGCCTCTGGGTGGCTTCCGGACTTCCAGCCGACCACTCTGGTTGCAGCGTGAGGAAAGTCCCAACCCCGCTGCTGCTGCTGCTGCTGCTGCTGCCGCCGCCTTCAGTCTGCGCCTTTTTGCTCTTGAGAAGAACGAAGCGGTGTTACTTCACGCCCAAGAGCTCAGAACCCACAGCAAAACCGTTTCTTTTGCCGCGTTGCTGAGCGCAATCGGCTGCCGCGTTTCGCCCACAAGACACTTTGCCTTGGCACGTCGCGCGAAGCGCTTGGAGACGATTCCACAACGTGATAAGGCGCTGTATCAACACGCAAGCAATATTATTATTTATTATTATCTACAGTGTTGGCCGCACTCGCCTTCCTGCTCAGGTTGCAAGTGATCCAAAATGCTGCCTCTCATTTATATAAGAGACTTTCTTTTCCTCCCAATACTGTAATTGCCTCTGGGTTATTTAGATCATAACCACACGGTAATGACAATAATAATCCTTACGTTAGGTACAGCGCCTTATCACCTCGTTGAGACAGCACAAAGCGCTTCACAGAATATATTGTAAAGCGGATTGACTGTGTATTTTAATTATAATGCTGCTGAAATGTTACATTTCACACGTTGGACGGAATAGCCCGAAGAAACTTAAATATATGTCATTCTAGGAAATATATAGTTTCTATTCTTTTCAAACCTATGTACAACGGTACGCAGAATGCTTACTGTTCACCCACTGACAAGCCTTCATCTCGGACCTGTGCTGGTGTAACAAACATCTACAATCTTCTTGACCATCATCACCCTTTCCTGGGGTGGTAGGAGGAGTGGAAAGGCATCATTTTGCAATTGAAGCAGAAAGTAAATAACGCTACCACTAAGTGCTAGGAATGGTTGGTATGTGCTTTCTCGTAAATCACTCACCCCGGATTGGTTTTTTTTCGAGAAGTTTTACTTTGAAAAGTATTTGCTTTTATTCTTCTTTATAAATGTGCTCCACAGAGAGCCCTGCACACATTCAAACACTAGAGCATAAAGTCTGGGATAACAATAATAATAATAATAATAATAATAACCCTTGCATTTGATATAGCGCCTTACCACGTCTTCGAGACAACTCAAAGCTCTTCGCAGGATACACGGTAAAGTGAATCGACTGTATATTTTGGGGCCGAAATGTGACTCACGACTGCCAAAGGGATCCCATTGGACTCCCTACATTGGCGTCAGTGGGATAGGTCAATTTTACAGACTGCACAAATTGTATTTATTTTCTAAGCTATTTTTTCTTTCCAACTCTGACGCTTTTGAAAACTCTCTCTCTCTCTCTCTCTCTTTCTCGCACGTAACAAGCAAGGCATTGGATGGCAGGTGAATCAATCACAAGGCCACACTTAAATGTGACCACACACTCTCTCTCTCTCTCTCTCTCTCTTTGCCCCTTCCTAAACAAGTGTGTAAATCATTCCGAACTTGATTCTCTCCCCTAATGCTGCAGTTCAGCATTTTTTTCCCACACAAATGCCAGCAACCCACACAGATTCCTGAAACACTGCAAGCAAACGATCAAGCAGCCGCAGAAAGACATCTGAAAGGCTGTGTGGGGTCTGCATTTGAGACCTGGGGCAAATAGTAGAAGCTTACACTCCACAGCACTGGTTAAAAACGTTGAAAACATTCGCTTGGCTTCATCGTCCCCATCACCCAATGGATCGACTTCAAGATCCTCACACTCTCGTGTTCAAATCCCTTCACTCCCCGGCCCCTCCCTCCCTCCCCCCTCTCTCCGACCTTCTCACTCCCCAATCCACCGCCCGGCGCCTCCGCTCGACCGGCCCCGGCTCCTGCTCGTCCCTCACGCCCTCCTCCCCACCGTCGGAGGCCGCGCTTTCAGCCGCTACGCCCCGAAACTCTGGAACGCTCTCCCTCAATCCCTCCGCCTTGCCCCCTCTCGCCCCTCTTTCAAGTCCCGCCTGAAATCCCCTCACCCCCTCCCCCCCCCCACCCCCGGTTCGGAGTCAGGCTCCGCCACTGATAAGCCCTCTGAGATGCTGCCCTGTGTGGACGGCGCTACTCAGGTGTAAGCTGTTGTTGTTGGTTTGGATTTTGATATTGAATTCCGTAATTAATCAGTGATTAATCAAAATCAGTGAAACAGTATTTCTGTAATCTTTAGTTACTAATTACGTAATTCAAGGCACCTCTCTTCACATAAGTTTACACATGGTTAGCCCAACAAACAACTTAGACCATTACACTATAACTTACAGTATATGGTTCCTAGTGCATTAACCCTCAAACTTCAAAGGGTCCTTAATATCATTTTGCTTCTAGCCTCTACATTCCTTGTTTTTTTTCCACATGAATACAGTCAGCCCTCGTCATAGAGCACTGACCTGAGAATAATATACTAACATTCAATATGACTCTATAACTATGTCAGAGCAACGCCCCGGTTACCGGTCAGAGCAAAGCGCTGTAAACACTGCAATGCCACATCGAGCAATCAGCGTAAAAACTCTTTCCTGATCATCCATTTATTCCGAAATTAAGAAAGTGCGAACATATGTTACGAAAACAAATTTGCTCGTTTGTCGCTCAAGCAATTGAACAGCCGTTATCAAGAGACTACCTTTAGGTTCTTTGCCTGAATTGGGTGTCCAGAGCTGAAGCCACCGTCTACGGGGTGGGGGGGAAAGGGGGTGGGGGGAGTGCGGGCACGCACTGGTGTCCTGGCAAGCTATGCCACAAAGCCCCCTTAATCTGGCTCATCACTGGGTAAGCTGGTTGGCAATTCCACACCGCAAATCCAATGCATGTCCAACAGGAAGCAGGGAAACAGAACGCTGCCAGCATTCAAGCTCGCCTTTCCTAGCTCTATTTATTCTATGAACAGTCTATTGTGCACAGCAATCTTGTTGTTTACATTTAAGCTGCATTTGATCTACTCAGCGTTTTGCTGTTCACATCGGGTTAGCAGAAAGGGCGGAAAAATAAAGGTACACAGTAAATCTGCGCAGTAAAAAGGTTTGTGCGCTTTGATTAGGACTTACTGAGCATATTTCTTCCTCAAATCAGAACTAACAATTGTTTTAGCGCAAGATAAGGCGGCACCAGATTCTTCCTGTGACAACAGCAATGCCAACAAGCAAACAGGGCCAACTTGCATTTGGCTTTGGGGATAGAATCAACAGAGGTGGGCAGCCCACAGAAAGAAACACGAATAAAATGTGTTTTCACCCTCTCCGACATCTGAAAAATGCCCCCCCGAGCCCCAACTGTGTTCAGAAAGAGATTCCGAGGTGCAGCATCATCATGTTCCTGGTTTTGTTTGCTGACCCGACCCAAATTGGACGCTGTTTGCTGAGTTTAATCCATTGAACTGTGGCTGATCTGGAAACACCCTAGCTGGTTCAGCTGCAACAACTGAGCCAGCACACTGAAGGCAAATTCACTTTTAAGCGGGGACCTTCCAAAATTGTGACACAGTGGCCGGTGGCTTGACTAAATGGTTGATAAAGTTAACAAACTGGTTGGCGTGGGTGCTGTTTTCAAAGCCAGCGGCACTAACTACACCCAGACTGTTATTTGTACCCTATTTATTATTATTATTATTATTATTATTTAGATTCAACGGTAAACACAATGGTTTTCAAGTTGTTTTCGCCATCGTTATTATAATTTTGAGTTTCGCCCACAACTGCACAGTCAATCCACTTGACAACAAATTCTGTGAAGCGCTCTGAGTCGTCTCAACGAGGTGATATGGCGCTTTATCAAATGCAAGGATTGTTGCGGTGATCAAAAAGTCAAGAGGTAAAGCACTGCTGTAGTAATTAATCCGAAAACTCACAAAGGATAATTCCTGAGACGGAAGGATTTCTTCCCCACCCTGGAATTCGACGTAACTACTCTACCACACACGCTTGTTATTTAAAAAGTCAATTGGTACACAGCCCAATCCAAATGCCCCTCTTCAAGTCTATGGAAACCTAACTCTAGAAGTGAATGAGCACCAGGAGAGTTCTTTCTCACAACGGGCAGCATAAAGATCGAACAGCAATAAGGCAACATAACACGAGGCCAGCGTGAATATTTAGCAGCACGAAAACGATCCCATAAATGGACAAAGGTAACTTTCTCCTTCACTTCATCATTCTTCCACATAACCCACGAGTACGAAGGATGTCCTTTCATTCCAGATGTGACACATGCAGTCGGAACGCACCTGCAAATCCGCAAGCAGTCGTTCAAAATCCGCAGACAGGTGGGTGCAAATCTAGCTGGACGCCCCATAATTACTAAGGGCTTCCTAACTGCCTTTTGACGGTGGATTGAATGCACTTTGCTTTCATATTTTGCTAATCTCCACCTTGAGTACCAGATAAACATATTCTGTAGCAAACAAAGAGTTGGCGAGACTCGAGGTATCTTTTACAGGAATGTGTGCGTGTGCGTGTGTTTGTTGTGGGGTAAGTAGGGGAATTTCCTGATGTTCGTTGCAGATTTTGACAAACAAATGCTTCACGTAAATAAAAAATGTATGGACGCCCAAGAAAGAAGCAGATTGCGCCTCGACTGACACAGATTAGGACGCGTTTAGCAATACATGTGACATGGAGTCCTGTAGCTCAGCGGTTAGAGCACTTTGGTTCGCAAGCGACAAAACCTGGCTTTGAATCCCGGCAGCGAGAAACGTTGGGCAACTTCCCTCACTCACACGCCTCTGTTTAAACCCGGCAGGAAGTAGGAACCCGGTTTTTAGTCGATTGGCAGATCGGTTTCCGGGGGTAATAATTACTTCAAAATAAATAAAAAAATTTGGTCAATCATTCCACGACAGTTTGCGGGACACTGCTGTGCGCAATTGGCTGCTGCATTTCGCCCACGAAATATATAACAACAACGACTTGTACTTATATTGCGCCCTCTGCCCAGGGTAGCGTCTCGGAGCGCTTGATGTACAGTCAATTTACTTTACGGTATATTCTGGAAGAGCTTTGAGACGTCTCGAAGACATGATAAGGCTCTATATCAAATACAAGGACCATTCATTATCTATTTAGCATGTTGAATTATATCCAGAATTGCTAGAGGTAATAGACTCGTCCTCATTCCATTTTAAAGACCATGGTTTTCATCTGTGAGGCAGAAAGATAATAATAATAATAATAATATAATAATCCTTGCATTTGCTATAGTGCTTTTCACGTCTTCGAGACGTCTCAAAGCGCTTCACAGAATATACTGTAAAGTGAATTGACTGTGTATTTTGTGGGCGAAACGCGGCAGCCGATTACGCACAGCAGCGTCCCCACAAACAGCCATGGATTGAAGTGACCAAATTATTATTGTTTTTTTTTCTTGAGGGATTGTTATCAGATACAATTACTATAAGATACTTAGGGTTAGGGTTAGGATTATAAGGCAGAAGATGGGAATCTATAAAATCCCAGCCTGCACTACATAAAGTATAAGGATTATAGTTACTAATAATTTGGCCCGCCCTGAAATTTCACAACGATTACGCACCAAACAAACTGGGCATAACTGCTCCCCTCCGAGGAACCAAAACCTGGAAATCACAGAAGGAAAGAGCATCTCGTGTGCCTGGTTGTAGTTTTGTGCAAGGTTGTAGCGCTCAATGTTGTTTCAAACTGCTGCAAACTCCCGACAAGCGGGCCTTACAGCCATCATGTTCAAACGCTGGGGACGGCAGTCACGCGTTGATGAGGGGGTATTTTGCATTCACGTGGAAATCCCTTTGTTCCAATAGATCTCAGAACCAAGCTGCACGATTATTCAATTAGTATCGGGAGCCGCTCTTCGTTTACATTCGCCATTAGATAGACTCGGGGCACCCTCATCTCCGCCCGAATGAAGCCGATGACAACCAAGACCTTGGGAAAACGGGCAATGTCACAGGCTAGTTGTTCTCTCTCAAACTGGCGACTCACACCTTCGTGGCGACAGGAGCCCGAGATTCACGTTTATTCGGCATTCAAGGGGCGCTCGAATGTACTGGAACGTACCATTCACCTCTTGAATGCTGGTATTCCTAGATCTTGGCTAATGCTCAAATCGTAAGCTTTCTCGCCCCTCCTCCCCCCCCTCCCCCACCGCCGCCCCCAAGGTCAATGCAAGCAGCAAACGTTTTTAAGACAACTTATTTACACAGCCACAGGAAGTGCAATTTCAAGCCATCGCTCCCACAAAATACCTACCGTTACTGGAGAGCGACAACTTCTGTGGACAGTGCTACTGCGCTTTGTCCCCGGGTCTTGTGAACTCTTGTGGAGGTGTTGACACCCTAAAAAGCCAAAGGCCTAACAGGTACAGCAAACCTGGCCTCACAGGTCACGGGTACATTGATGCATGGTTACTATTAATATAGAGAGCTCAATTAATATATAATTGTGGTTGCCGTGTAATAATAATAATAATAATAATAATCTGCCATTTGATACAGCTCCTTATCACGTCGTTGAGACATCTCAAAGCGCTTCACACAATATATTTAAAGAGGATTGACTGTGTATTTTGTGGGCGAAACACGGCAGCCAATTGCACACAGCAGTGTCCCACCAACAGTCGTGGGTGGATTGAGTGACCAAATTTTTTTTTGGGGGTGGTGGGGGGTGGTGGGTTTGGGGAGAGACTATTACTCATGGAAAGCAATTCGCCGATCGATTAACAGCCGGGTTCCTACGTACTGCTCGGTAAACAGAGGCGTGAGGAGTAAGGAAACTAGCCTAAGGTATTGCACCGCCTGGGAAACAAACTCAGGTCCTCTCGCTTGCGAAGTGAGAGCGCCAACCACTACGCTATGGGACTCCTCGAGTCCGGTAGCGTAGGCGGTGGTGCAAAACATCACATGCATCCTTTATCGGGCAGCACATGGTTTATTAGCAGTGGAGGGGTCGCACATTCAAATGAGTGTGTTTGTGATTCCTAATTGCAGCTACGCAAATATGTTCTTAAAGAGATTAAAAAACGTTTGCACGGAATTTCCCGAAGGCAGCATCAATCACCGCTGCATTACACTGGCCTTGCTTACGTCAACTGCTAATTCTACAATTCAGAGAGGGTCCCATAAAACCAGCCAGTTTACAGTAGTGCCCTAAAAGTATTAATTATTAATAATGCATTTCTGTCATACAGTTAAATTATCTTTCTCTCTCTTTCACACACACACACACCAGATAAACCACACGCTCTCTCACTTATTTTCCAAACTCTAGCTTTTGATCTTTACCATATGGTCCAGTGTCAGAGCAGAAAGCAACGACACAGATTACTTATAATAATAATAATAATAATCCTTGCATTTGATATAGTGCTCTTCACGTCAGGAGGACGTCCCAAAGCGCTTCACAGAACACACTGTAAAGTGAATTGACTGTATGTTTGTGGGCGAACGCGGCAGCCAATTGCGCACAGCAATGTCCCACAAACAGTCGTAGATTGAAAATGACCAATTTATTATTTTATTTTTTTTGGAGGGATTATTATTAGGCTCTGTGTGGAGTAAGGAAACTTGCCCAAGGTTTCGCCCTCTGCCTGGAATTGAACTCAGGTCTCTCGCTTGCAAAGCGAGTGCTCTAACCACTGAGCTACAGGACTCCACTTATGCTGCACGTAAGCCCCTTCCCCTCTAACTGGATCTGAAGCAGCTCAACACAGCAACCGCAGTGCGAGGGCGTGAACTATCTCCCCTCTACGCCTTTTAAATGTTAGCTTCACCTGCCCATAAAATACAGGAGTATTTCCTTATCCGCGGGAAATAAATTTTGCCTACGTGACCAGCCTCCAGCAAAGCCGATTTGTGAACGTGACCTTTCTTCCTACGGGTTTCACAATCGCTAAATCGTGGAGTATCTTTTAAGACTATCAGAGCCTGTACACTCCCTGCATTCCACCAGACAATTAGCAAAAGATCCAAAGTATAAATGGGTTAAAAAAAAAAGTCTGTGAACAGAGCGTAAATTGTTTACAGGCTTCTGGTAAACAATAAGTATAATTTGCTCCAGATATAGCTTCACGGCACAAACTCTATAAAAAGGCTGATAACTTCCCATTATTTTGACCTTGACGGAGTGAAAAGCGAGACGGGTCACCTGAGTTTCCATTAGTTTAACCCAGTCTTAACCCTTCCGGTACTGGATTCTTCACAGAATAATTCACCACAATCATGAGTCACGTTCATGGTAGCAAGAGCAAGGCAAACCCGTTGTAATAACCCCTAATAATAGTATGCGCTTGATATAACGCCTTATCACGTTGTTGAGCAAATGAGGGGTTCACACCATTGCACAGTAAAAAACGAAGACAAAGCCGTAAGTGTGAGAAGATGATGTTCCGTCGGTCGGGTAGCAATTACAAGGAAATCAAGCGTACCTTCTTTCTCCTTGGCAGTGGTCTCGGTGTGTCTGTATTTAAAGCGCTGTGTGGGACTGGACAAGGCCTCACTGGGAAGAGTAGTTCGCTCGTGGCTTCCTGAAAGTATTAATATTAACAGAACAATTAGTGCAGAATTAAAACAAGCTCCAGATCACAACCGGACGCCCTTCTGTTAAGAATAATGATAAGACTGCAATCAGATAAAAATGACTGTGCATTGATCTTGTAAGTGTAGCAGGTTTAACAACAACAACGACGACAAAATGACATTTGTATAGCGCCTTTCACTTCGGGAGGACGTCCCAAGGCGCTGAACTGTCAGTGTTTTGGACCCGAGCTGGGGGTCTGGATAGGGGAGGGCGGAGGTTTTAGTTCAGAATATAAGAAAGTACAAGTAGTCAAAACTTCATATGATAAAATTGACTGATGTCTCAAGTCACGCAGTTCATCGTCCTAACTTTCATGGTATCATTATACTGAGGTCAGACAATTCATGTGAGGAGAAGAAAAAAATTACGATTATCCTAACATCTGATATACTTGCCAATAATGGTGAAACGCCTCAAAACTCTGTATAGAAATTATCGTCAAGTGCAGTGACTGTCCAAGCAAATTTAGCGGCCAATTTCCAGAAGCACAATCCTTTGGTTGCTATGTAATTCACTAATGAAGACACAGCGGAGACTGCTGTGCTCTTCCAACAGTGCATTCATTCCCCAGGAGATAAAATTGCAGTAACAACACAATGCAAGAGACACAATATTTTGCATTATCTGCAGAGAAGGGCCCAAATATAACAACAATAATAATCATCATCATCATCATCATGCATATAATGGCTTTCATGTGGGGAGGAAGCCTCAAAGCATTTTACAGGATATAATGTAAAGTGTAATGTGTAGTGGCTTCAATTTGTATTTGTGGCTGCGAATTTGCACTCAGCAGTGTCCCCAAAACAGGCATGAAATGAAGGAGCAATTATTTTTATAACTCTGTATATGTGTACAAGCAGCTGTACCTGACAACTTGGGTTATTGTGTGGACCACTTAAGTGGTGAATCTGCATGACTATCTCGGCTTCAGCGACTTAACAGAATTCTACGGTCTCTGCTTCACAATAGTTTGGAAGCGCAGCAGTACTGGGTGCAAGGTAGTAAATATCAGCAGGCACACTGAACCGATGAATATTAATAGCCAAAAAGAGGAGACGGAGATTTAAAATGGCCCCAAGATGGAGCTGTTATTGATTTTCCTACATTAAACTCTCACTGTACCGCAGCTGAGGACTTCGCTCCCTCTCGAAAGTGCGGTACCAAATCTATTTCAGGATTATGCTGGAGCCTGATGAGACAGCTGCCAAATGAGTCTTTGCAACCAGTCCGAGGACCGCTGGACGATCAGCAACGCTGGATTCCAGCCAAACAATTCGCAGAGCTAGCTTTGATCTCAACGCCATACTCCTCAAATATAGTCCATCACAACTCAAGGACTTTCCTCTCAATTTCTTCCAAAAGCAACAGATTACACCAGGAGAGTGGAATGTTCTTTACTCCAAGTGTCCTTGGTTGATTCCACCTACAGATATGAAGTTTCTGCTGGAAAAATTTCTTTGGCAAGCAGGGTTTCAGGTCCAGAGTTTCACTGAATAAAACTAGAATGTCTATCTGCCTTCGCCACACAGCCTCAAATCCAGAAGAATATTCTACAGATAATCCACGATAATACAGATAATCCACACATTTTCTTTGAATTAAAAGTACAACAAAATCAACACAGTTTGCAACTAAAAGCACAGTTCGGCAATTGCATTTGATATACCGCCTCATGATGTCATTGCGATGTCTCAAAGCGCTTCACAAAATATATTGTAAAGTGAATTGACTGCGTTTCTTCTGAGCGCAACCCGACAGCCAATTGCACAGAGTAGTGCCCAAAATATTTACTTATTTATTTATTTTTGGGGAGGGATTATTACTCCGGAAAAGCAATCCGCCAATCGACTAACAATTGGTTTCCCACTTACTGCCAGGTAAACAGAGCCATGCGGAGTAAGGAAAGTTGCCTCAGGTTTCGCCCCGCCCAGGATTCGAACCCGGGTCCTCTCGCTTGCGACGCACGAGCAATAACCACTACGCTACGGTACTCCACCACATTTTCCACAGTGGCCGATAGATAGCTGAAGGCGTGGTCAAAGAGGAAGGTCTTGAGGCAGACCTTGAAGAGGCAACGGAAGGGTCGAGTTGTAGGGACTCCGGGATAGAGTTCCAGAGAACGGAGGCAAATAGGCTGAAAGTCTGACCACTGATGGTGGGGTAGGTAGGGCAGGGGATGTGAAGGAGGCCGGTGTCTCTGAAGAGGCGGGCAAGACCACAGAGGGATTTAAAGGTTAGGATGAGAATTTAATAAGAACATAAGAAATGCAAGACCTAAAATGCATCTAGTTGGCCTTCCACCTTCCTGGCGGTCGCCTGCACATATGTCCCAAACTACCTATGTCCTGTATCCCATAATGCTGTTTCCTAAAAGAAAACTCTCTAATCTGTGTTTGAAAGAATCAACACTTCCTACTTCAACCGTCTCCCTCTGGAGCCTGCTTTTAATAATAATAATAATAATAATCCTTGCATTTGATATAGCGCTCTTCACGTCGGGAGGACGTCCCAAAGCGCTTCACAGAACACACTGTAAAGTGAATTGACTGTATGTTTGTGGGCGAACGCGGCAGCCAATTGCGCACAGCAATGTCCCACAAACAGTCGTATATTGAAAATGACCAATTTTTATTTTTATTTTTGGTTTTGGAGGATTATTATTAGGTGTGTGGAGTAAGGAAACTTGCCCGAGGTTTCGCCCTCTGCCTGGAATTGAACTCAGGTCTCTCACTTGCAAAGCGAGTACTCTAACCACTGAGCTACAGGACTCCACTTGACAATATTGACATGACACGCGCACATAAGGTCATTTGCTGCAGGAGCCCTCTGGATGTGCGGAGGCACCGTACATACTCTGGAGGTTTGGAACGCAGGATTGCCTCCAATTTGGTGGAAATGTCAAGTCTCTAAACCCACAGAATAAAACAGGTATAAATTACAATTTAATTACAATGGCTTTGCGTCTGTTGTTGGGAACTTAACAGAAGCTGTGCACCAGCAGGTAAAGTAGATTACTTGGCAACAATTTACTGGTATCTGACGGGTGGTCTGGAGTGAGACAGTCAAGGATGTTTTTAGTCTAGTCTCGAGGAGCAGAGATTGATAGCTTGTGCAAAATCTCTGGCTGTAAATAATGAGAGAATTTCATTATCTCATGACTGGAAGGAGAATACATACCTGTAATTCTATTAAGCCTTCCCACGCGGTGTCATAATCAGTTGAAGTTAAGTGAAACAAATAGCCCTGGGCCACTGATAAAACGTTCAATTATGTTTTAAAAGTTCAATTGTCCAGACGTGAGTACAGCATGGAACCGAATACCCACTCTATGTTAGGCCAACCCACATTGTGGAGATGAAACAATGTGGAGGACATTATATCAACACAGCACACTGTATAATACACAGTACTCCCCAGAGACTTCTCCCGCCAGAAGCTACACTATCATGATGATAACACAGAATGACAGGCAGTCTTTTTTCACACAAACAGTCGTTTCGCCCACAAATATACAGTCAATTCACTTTACAGCATATCCTGGGAAGCGCTTCGAGACGTCTCGAAGACGTGAAAAGCGCTATATCAAATGCAAAGATTATTATTATTATTATTTTCTACCCCCTTCACAGTGACAGCCTTTTCTCTGTCCTTCTGTGTGTGTGTGTGTGGGGTGTGTGTGTGTGTGTGGGGGGGGGTGGTGTGTGTGTGTGTGTGCTTCTCTTTCTTTCTCTGCGTTTGTATGTGTGTATGTGTCTCTCTCCGTTGGTCTCTCGAGGTCTGTTCCTACCCCTCTTGACGCTCCGAGATGCTACCCCACATTAAAGGTGCTATATTTAGATAGATTTACATATGGACGGAACCCGTCATTTGTGGGGGTGAAGGGTGACGGGGCATCCGTCTGTATTTGCCATATAATTTCTACATAATACAAACTTAATAAGCCTGCAGAAGCACCAACAGGTCCTTTTTCATCCTTGTCAGTTAGTTCATTTGCGAACCTCAGCCTGGACCCGACCAAGCGAGGCCCAAGAAAAAAATATGCAGGGTTAATGGCTTCAGTGGGGAACTGCTTGACCAGAGAAAAAATAGGAGCAGACTGAAGGAAAACAGCAACATTTGCGCCGGGAAACTACAAAGGCTGCTTCTGGTGGTAGAGGCACAATCCATATTAGGTTTCAAAAGGAAACTAGATAAAAATCTGAGAAAGAATGGGCGATAGGGTAGGTTGACCACACAAAGAATGGCACCTCCAACAATGCAGTGCTCCCACCCCCCACCCATCCCAGCACTGCATCAAGGGTGTCAGCCTATGAGCTCAAAATCCCAACATGGGGCTTGAACCCACAACCTATGACTGAGGCATGAGTGCTACCAACTGAGCCAGGCGAACATCGGTACGTTAAATCTCCCAAATGTCGAACACTGAATCTCCAATGTTGGCTCTACTCTCACGTCTCTCAGTCTCTTAAATGTATAACACCCAACGACTCATGAGTAGTTGGTGCACCCATCAGTTAATGATGGCGTCAGCTTGGCTCAATCAGTAATCATTCCTCTCCATAGTCAGGAGTCATTCCCCAAGGCTGAACAGGGCCACAGCCCAACTATCTTTAGCTGTCAGACTGGCTTAGTTGGTAGCATTTTTCCCTCTGAGTCCGAAGGTTGGGGGTTCAAAGACCCACGTCAGAACTTTTGAGGTCATGGTCTACCCTCAATCTAGTGCAGAGCTCGGGGAATGCTCTATTACTGGAGATGCCACTCTTGAAGATGAGGTGTTAACCTGAGGTCCCATCTATCTGTTCATTTGGATGTTACAGATCCCATGGCACTATTCAAAAAGAGAAAGCAGTTTATCCCAGTGCCTTGGCCAACAATCCCTAGATAAAATAGGTCATTTGCTTTGTGACTGATTGCGGAACACTGCAGTGCGCAAATTAGCTGCCA